CAGTAGTTGATGAGGATGGCTTCGTGTGCAGGTGGAGTCTCCGGACCTCGGTCCCCGCCTAATTCTGTTCAAGAGCTAATCTCCAATCCTTTCGAAAGGAGAAGTTTGGCAGATAAATTGTTGCTTAAAGACCTTGGACCGGACCAACCCGATTTGAATATATCGCAGCAATCTCGTGAAAAAGACAAAACTTATACACGAGGCTTCGCAAGTAGCTGGTACACAAAAAAGGCTTGGCTAGCTGGATGCAAACAGGTAAATGCTGTCTTTTGTTTCCCATGCTTGCTCTTCAAACAGCCGGGGACAGATACGATGTGCCCGTGGACTGTGATGGGAGTACATGATATGAAGCATTTGTCCGAAAGAATTAAAAAGCACGAGTGCACGAAGGCACACATGACAAACACCTTTAAGCTAGCCATGCTAGGCAAAGCTAACATAGCCGCACAGCTAGATCAAGGGTACAAGATGTCGGTGAAAAAGCACAATGAAGAAGTGGACACGAATAGGCACGTCTTGTCTAAAATAATTGATTGTGTGAAATTTTGTGGGGGCTTTGACCTGGCTTTGCGTGGCCACGACGAGACTGACACATCCGACAACCCCGGCATTTTTCTGGGTTTAGTTCATCTACTGGCCTCGTTAGATAGCGTGTTGGAGGATCACCTTAAAACGGCTACGGTTTTCAAAGGCACCTCAAAGACGGTGCAAAATGAACTTTTGGACTGCATGTTATCAGTTTGTAAAGACTACATTCTGGAGGAAGTAAAAAATGCCAGTTATTTAGCTATTCAGGCGGATGAGACAACTGACATTTCCACCCACTGCCAGTTAGTGCTTGTGCTACGCTACATCGACCCGCATAACAACGTCCAGGAGCGTTTTTTTTAGTTCATTCCTCTTCAGAATGCGAATGCTGACACAGTTGCCACCGCGCTGATGGAGAGGCTGGGCACTATCCTCCCCGATGGACAACAGGGCAAACTAATCGCCCAAGCCTATGACGGTGCAGCGGTGATGAGGGGAGCTAAAGGTGGAGTTCAGCGGAAAGTGAAGGATGTGTACAGTAGTGCGCACTACATCCACTGCTATGCGCATCAGCTGAACCTAATTATGCAGCAGGCAACATCCCACATCCCCAAGATAAGAACATTTTTTTCAGACCTTGGTGGATTTGCTGCATTTTTCTCCAGGTCATTCAAGCGAACTGCGATCCTGGATCAAGTGGTGGCACACAGACGTCCTGGCACTTCCACAACAAGATGGAACTTTCACAGTCGTGCTGTTAACACTGTATATGAGCACAAGGAGAACATCCTGAGGTGTTTCCAGACAATCAGAGACTCAGGTGACTTTGATCCCATAACAGTGAGAGAAGCCGGGGGCTTTGTGCGAATGATGGAAGATGAAGTTTTTTGCTTTTTCCTGACATTGTTCCACAAGATCATGCCACATGTAGACATGCTGTTTAGCCAACTGCAGAAGAGGAACATCGACTCTGTCTACATCACAGGACTCATCAAGAGGTTCACCAGCAGCATACAAACAATCAGGTAAATCATTATTTACAATGGCTGAGATGTGCTTATTATAGGAAATCTGTGAAACCTAAATGTGATTTAGCTGAACACAATAGACCAACTCACACATACTTGTTTAAATATCTTAAACGGGCTTACTGGAAATGTATATATTATATAACGTTTATAAGGTGTATCTCTGACTACTATTTCAAATAGTCAAGTTAATTTGTCAATTCTTGCCACAATGAGTAATTGTACATGGTTACTTGTGGTTTGGATCAGGGACTCCATTCCTTCTGGTGAAAGCAGTGGATCTCAGCAGCTGCCCACAAAGAAACGGAGGGGACTTGGACATGAAGAGCAACAGCTGTTGGCTGGAGAGGTATGCAGTAATAGGAACGTGTTCTATGACTAAAAGCTCCTTTCATAATATAGGTCATTTCATATCACAATAATGATACATTTCACAAGAAAGCCCATTTTCTGTAAATTAAATAAATAGGTAGGCTAGTTAAAATATCCACATGGAAAGGCCTATTGCTTATTACATTCTGAATTGTATACACTTAACAAGGCCTAAACTGCAAAAAGTGTCCCACAGTCTCTACATTTCAAAGGGGATCAAGACAGATCAGAAAAGGTTTAGGCTTCCAGAAGCAACCACAATGGACAGAAAGGGCCCAACAATAAATAAATGAAGTGTAAACATAGTCATTAAATGTATATATTGTAGTGACTTAATTTTAAACAGTAATATTGTTCTGTTGATGCTCAGATAGATGTCCTGTTATTCTGATAGGTTCCATTCACAAGAAAGCTCTTTGTTTGTTACACATCTTATAGGGGACACTAATGACATTATGACTGATAGATGTGAAAAGGTGATTCTGTTATTTATTATGTCTTGATTTTTTCATTGTGCATTATTTCATAGGTATGTGATACCATACTGAGTCACGCAAAGGAGAGATTTTCCTTCACCAAACACCTAATCAGCTCCACCCTCCTGCAAGGAGACCTGTTCCAGCAGCACAGCCGAACATTCCCTGAAGCAGCGCTGGAAACAACTGTGGAGGCCTACCCTCTACTGGACAAGGCAAAGCTCAAGACGGAACTGTCCCTCGTCTATGACAATGACCAGTTCAGGGCTTGCAGTGGTGCTGTTACTCTGCTCCAGTTCTTCCTTGACAATAATCTGCAGGAGACATTCACAGAGACTGTCAGTCTTCTGAAGGTTCTTGTAACCACACCCATGGCTACGGCTGAGGCAGAGAGGTGCTTTTCCACTCTGAAAAGGATAAAGACTTTCTTGAGGAACAGCATGACACAGGATCGCCTGAATGCTCTGGCTATGCTGTCAATTGAGAAAAAACTCATTAGGAGCATTCCTGACTTCAACACCAGAGTCATTGAGAGGTTTGCCACTCAGAAGGAGAGAAGGGCAAAATTCCTCTACAAATAGACACACACACACACACACACACACACACACAAGCTCTCGCAGCAAACACAGATGGCCGACCCTTAAAAAAATGCGTTTCATTAGAGAGACAATTAAACGGCCGCAGAATGTTGTGAAGTTACTTTTGGATACCTAAGATGTTTTGTTCAACCACAAAGTCCAGGAACATGAGTACTGTTTGGAAACCTGTTGCGTTCGACTCATTTTCCCCAGAGGAACAGTTGTTTCTTGTTTCCTTTTGTTTTTGTCTTTTTTCTGCCTGTTGCACATTTTGTTATTCAAAGCAGTAAAAAAGGTGCTATCGGCCAATAAGCTGGATATCACTTTATATGTAGAGAGGAGGTTTCCCATGGTTGTTAGAAGTTTATTAATAAGTGGGCATTTATCACAGAAGTGATTGTTCTGTCTCCACGTTTGTTGCATTGTCTGTGATGTATTTTCCAACGGTTATAGCTCCTGTCCTGTCCCAGCAACACTACACGGTTTGCAGCTCCACCACATTTTTGGTTTATCTTCGGTGTCGCTTAAAATCTGCTTCCCATCGGACTAAAACCTCCACGTAATCTGAAGACAGATACTTGAAGTTATTTAAACCTTTTGCAAACTTTATGTTCTTTCTTGCTCTAGCCTTGCCAGTTACATTGTACATAACACATATATTATCATTATGCTAACTGGTTGTTCGTGTTAGACGATGTAGCTTTTTCATTTCTGAGTTATTGCTATATGTAAATAAGCCTGTTTGTAAATAATCCTCAGAGAAACAAAGAAAAAACACAATTTATGACATTTTCTGCTGTGGTTATTTTTTTTTAAATTGCATTTATTCACAGTTCAGTTTGAAATGCTGTAGTGACTTGTATTGAACCACTTAAATATTTATAATTAATGCTACTGAAAAGATGCTATTAATTTTATATCCCACATGCAGTTCACTGTAAAGCCACTTGGTGGAGGTGTTGGTTCATAAAACATGAACAGTTTTAAGAAAGAAAAAAACAGACCAGTTCTGAGAACACAAATTCCTGGTAAAGTAGTAGATGTTCAGGTTGATAAATAATATTTTCCACACTGAAGATTATGGAGGTATTGATCAGTCTTCTCATATTTTTAAGCCTCGATTTCTCCTTTCCCCCCCCCTCTAACATCACCAGAAGTCATAATTTAAGGGGTCATTTCTCGAAAAAAAATTCCGGGGGGAAACCCCCGGACCCCCCAGGTAGGTAACTTCCGGTACATCAAGAGCCCCACCAAAAAAAAAGACCACCGGCCGCCACTGGTGCCATCATAATAGAAATGTGTATACAGCGTTTCGTGAATATCATTCAACATGTAAATCGTCAAAAATTGTATATTCTCTGTTAGCTTTACGACCTCCCTGATTGAGCTAGCAGCTATTTTATTCGCAATTCAGCATGGCATTGGATATGGGCTGAACTTGTCCTGGATTTTTCCAATCATTTCCCTAGGAGAAGTGCGCAAAAATGTGTTTAAAATGGATGAATAACGCCGACTTTTCAAAATGGCCGACTTTCTGGGGGGCGGGGCTAAATACTTTTAGTATGTTTTTACAATATCTTCCTTAAAGGTGGGGTAGGTAATTTTGGAGAAACCAGCTCGAGTGCGCTAGAATTTGAAAATACACAATCGGAGAAAATCTGCCACTTCCTTACAGAGCCCCTCCTCCAACACACACGAACGCGCACATGACCAATGAGGGCACGAGATAAGTTTGTGCACAGATGGAAGGCTGACAGGCAGGTAGGCCATCCAGTTATTTTAGCCGGGCCGGCTAAAATGATTGGTCGTGCTTTTTACAGTATTACGGCTTCCACAGATGAACATTTTTTATGGAATTGTTGTCAAAGCACTTAAGATATTCATTGCTATCGGGATGTTGGAATATGGAATATAACAAAAAGTGTATCTCGAGCCGGTTTCTCAAACTTACCTACCCCACCTTTAAGAAGATATTGTAAAAACATGTGTATGGAAAGGAAAAACAAACATTTTTCAGTAGTGTAAAAAAAGTATTTATTGTTCAGCAAAAGTATATAGATTTGTATTTGGTATTATAAATATATTACATTTTTATATTTTAAGAAGCAACAAAATAATCCACAATTAATAATAAATTCCACTTTTCCTTAAAACCACATATGCTTTTGTTGATTTTTCCTTTGCTACAGAGCCTCATTATAATGACTGTAATCTAACACTTGATTAGTTTGTATATATTCTCAAACCTCCTTGCAAGATGATGCACAAACATTTATTAAAGACAGTAAAACCCGAGCTCATCGTTTCACCCGGGTCGATTAGTCTGCTCTGTCCAATTATGCAATGATATATGTTCATTTATGAGGCCATAACAATATTTTCCAACTGGAAGAGTGTTGAGTCAGTGCAGAAGAAGGAATAATCAATGCTCTGCTTAACAAAAACCATATAAAAATGTCACACCCATCCCTGTGGGATTTCTACTTGGTTTCATAGGTTCTAACTGAATGTTTTTGCAGCAATAGTTTTATTTTCATTGTTTCTGTTCCTTGTGTAGGTTATTTTGTATGTGGTTTGTGTTTACTTTAAGGTTCATCTTCATGCTGATATCTTTAATCAAAGGGTTCATGTTCAGATCAAATACAATTCCAATTTTCTATACAATAGCTGTACATTATTGTAAATAATTTGACAAAACTTGACAGATTGTTTCTTCAAGCCAACATATTTCAGGATTTATAAAAAGGTATATTCTATAGTTTATGGAGTTGTCAGTATCCCCTGTCTATCTTGTGCTGCTGGTCCAGAAGTGTTTGTTTCAGGCTCACTTTGGCATCTTCAAAATCTGGATTCATCTTCAATACTTGTTGGAAGTCACTCTTGGCGTCATGGAAAAAACCTGTAAGACATTAAAAATGTCATGATATGTAATGTACTGCCAAACTAGCTCATAAGAGTCAGCAGTTTTATGTTCTGGGCATCATGAGAACGAGTGAGTACACAGCTCCATCTGGTGTTAAACACACACACACACACACCTAATGCTGGGATCGCACCACAACACAGACCGTCTGCACCCCTTTCTGGTGGATTTTAGTCCCATTTAAAGAAAGCTTGGTTTCTATAGTTCACTGAGCCAGTGCTGTGCTTTTTTGATTGATCATTTTACCAATCTATGTATCTACTGTACCATAATGTGACCATATGACTCCAAATCAATGCAGCATTGTATTAATACACCTGGATTTTAGTCGACCTATTCTATTTTATTTTATTTTATTTTGTTTCCTTTCTGGCATCATGTGAAGCATTGTCCCCCCAAAGCAAACCAGATATTAATCCTACACTGGACAAATATGATATTGAAGCCAATGAACATTGCATCCAATAAAGAAACTGCATAGTTGTCATGACAATATCCATATAAAATAGAAAAGGCCATTTACATTTACAAAGAGGTGTGTATCCTTCTCGTCTAGTTGTGTTGTACAATTCTGCATTGATTTGGGGTCAATAGGTCACATTATATGGAAGCTATTGCAAAATAAAACATTTTTATTTTATATTCATCTAAAAAATAAAATGGACTAAAATCCACAAGAAAAGAGGTTCCGACAGTTAGTGAAGCAGACCTAGAAAACACAAGTGAATATCAATCCAATATCCAACCTAAATATACAATTATTTTGAAGCAAAGCGGAAGTGAATTTATTTTACTCTGTCAGGCTTGAAAATAACAGATAGCTCTCTCTCCTGTGAACTTTGGACTAAAAGGGGTCTCTGTACCCTTACCTAGTCTATAGTGGATGAGTCCTCTGTTGTAGAAAGGTGTCTCATAGCTGCTGTCACTCTGTATCGCTAAAGAGAAGTCCTCCACCGCTTCACCAAAATCCACCCGGAGGTACTTTATCTGTCCGCGGTTGTTGTAAGCAGTGGCCAAATGACTGGCTTTACAATCCCTGTGGAAATATGACAGCGTTAAAGAAAGTCTCCGAAAATGACACCGAAGTGAAAGGATAACAGAATAAGCTGTAACACTAAAACGACTACAGACTTGCTATACATCGCCAAAAAAGGAACAAACAGTACCTGGTCTGTAAGCAGGACGAGATAAACGTTGTGTACAGTAGTTCTGCAAATTTGAAGTTCTGGTTTTTAAACTCAGAGTGAGCATGTTCAAGTATTTGAGGGTTGTCTTGCTCCATTAGCTGTGAATTCTGTTAAGGTTTGTTGTGTTTCCTAAAGACGGAAGCGACGACACGCAAGAAAACATCCAATCACGTTCTAGTGCGTCTCAAGTAGGCGGGGCTTATCAATGGGGCAATAATAACTTCAGAATGTATTTCATTTAGCGCCTCAAACAACTTATCATTTTGAGTTTTGTTTATTATATAAGATGTAATTTCCACCTTACATATGTTGATGCTTCTCTGTATTTTTTTGGAGTTATTATGAGGGTACTGGTTGACACACAACGTGCCTTTATTAATATATCACTTAAAATTGACCACAGAGGATGCATCACTTCATAAAAGCGACTATATAAATAAACATGGCTTTTATTTTATTTTTAAAGATACGGGAGTCGTTATTGTCATCCATCAGTATAAAAGGCAGTACAGTACATGAATTGACAAAACTGTGTTTCCCAGGTCCTGGTGCCAAACAAAACAATGAACACACGTACATAAGGTGCAAACAACAGGATATAAAAACGGATACAAAATAAGATACAAATTAAATACAAAATACAGGTAGAGTAAAGTAAAAACATGAAGTCAGTTATGCACCGAGGATATCTTTCTAATGTTTTTTTGTAACAGCAGGTGGCAGACTTGACTCAGATCCTTTAAAAACCAGGCCTTAAAGACATCAAAGTCTGTAGGTGCATTCAAAACAAGTTTAAATACTGTAAGCATGACATTTTAACCAAAGATCCAGTCAGTGGCTAACTATCTGGAAAAATATGTTCCTATTTTTGCAGCAATGGACGTGTTTTTCAAAAAGAAAAGGCTTGTGACCCTCACACAATGAAACATCTGTCACACCGCTCTCAGGTCAGTATGACACTCGCTGCAAGGGGGCAACCCATAAAAAAACTGGTGAGAAATTCTCAGACCATCTCCCAGGTGAAAAGTCAACTTAAGGAAGCAAAGGTTGCTCAGTAGCCGCGCACTTCCCTTTTGCGGTCCATTTATCTTCAAGACGAGTTGAAGCAAATCAAACAGTTTGACCCTGAGGAAGAGAGTGCATACCGCTGGCTGAGGCAAATAACAAAAACATACAACCTGTGGGAATGTGGGATAACTTTACATATATAACATAAATCTTTGAGTTTCTGCTTCCTAAAATCGGGAAGAAGTCTGAAGATATATAAAAATAAGGGAAGACATCTCCAAAATAATTCAATGCAACTCAATTTGTATAGCACCATTTTTTACAAAAGCAGTACAGAGTGTATTACATAAAGCATAAACAAAACAAATAAAATAGAATTAAAAAAATTGCAAATACAGAAAAATCCATACACCAAGTCATACAAATATAAATCATGTACATAGATAGATATACGAAGCACACAAATACCGTATGTTCATTTGAGAAATAATCCATTCAAATTAGACAGTTTTACCTTGTACCACTGTGCTCATCATTAGAGGTCAGATTCTTTAAATTTGAGGTCAACTTAAACTCCATGAAGCTATGGAAAATCCCATACGTTTATTTTGGCAAGGACAGACTGTCCACATGAAGCTCAGACTGGTATGTTCAGAGCTTTTTTTGGACCCTAAATGTTGCTGTTTGCTGAGAGACTTAACACAAAGTATCAAAATCCCCTTTAGTCTGCCAGAACATAGACACAAATCCATCACCCAGCTACATCCTCTTCACTGACAGACACACGGCACCACCACACTGAACTTTTATCACTACAGTTCACTTTTTTAAATCGTAATAATTAAGGTAATCTTTTTGAAGTTGGGTAAAACCAAATTGCATTTTTAATGCAGCTATGTTTGTAATGTAAGGAAGTTATTGCTGCTACATTTTGATATGGCATAATATACAAAAAGGAAAAAAAGTTGATGTTGACGAAAATACATCTGGTTCCACAGTTAAGTCGTTAACCAGTAAGTGGATTTGGTAATAGCAGTAATAAATTCACAAGGTCCGGAATGAACTCATCATAATCAACAAAAAAAACGTATTTGAAACCGAATATTTGAATTATTTTAAGGATGATTTTGACAAATTTGCCAACTGCAAACAAACTAGTACATACAGTGAAAGGTTTATTCCCCTTATTTTGTATATTACCTTCTTTAACTTCAGTCCATTTATAAGCTTAGTGTAGATTAGTGCAGCTTTGTGAGTGTTATATTGTTCATTATAGGATATGGGGGGGTTAGGGGGGTTTAATGACTCTGAAAAGACACTCATCAATGAAAAAGTAACACTGTTAAACTGTTTTAAAGAAATAATAAAGTTTGTCCTCAAGTAAAAACCTGAGCAGGAACGCTTTGCACCAACCCTTATGTGTCTTTTCCACTTCTCAGAGGCCTGTGAGTCCCATTCATCTTCCTCCACAGACACACCGGTGGGCTCACCTCCCTGACCGCCTGCCCGTGTGGAAACCGTACACACTGGAATAGCGAACAAACATAAAACAGCTGTCCGGTTAAAGGAAAGAGGGAGAGGATCCAAACCAGACTCCAGGTAAACTTTGGCGTGTTGACTCTCTCCCTCTCACAGACAGAGCAGACACAGACGCTCTGTTTCAGGCAAATAAGCCAACTCATTCCAGAGGTTTCACGACGACCTCTCTCTGTTGTTTTTTGGCAACACTGAAGGTGTAAAAAAACATGATGGTGATAACAGGGTTCAAAAACAGATGACAGATAGGAACGCTGTTAAAAATAATTCACGTCCAAATCCACTTAGGTTAGAAGAATGTGTAGCTCTGTAGAGTTTATTAGACATGTATTTAGTATGTTTTGGTGACTGTATGTGTGTAAGAAAGAGTTCAGGGTTAGGAAGTGATCTCTTCCTGACCTCAAATATCTGAGCGCTTTGATAGTTTTTGTGAAACCAGAGTCAATTGTAACACATTGTTAACAAAAATGTTAGAACGTCCATCGTGTTTACCCTTTTCTATTGACACAGAAATACATACATGGTATTCAAATGTCCAGTTATATTATATAAACTGATACAATGTCTCTCTTGTTTATGCAGAAATACATTTCAGAGCAATATGTCTATTCTGACATATCATTTATTGGATATAGAGTTTATCCTGATCAATATTTTATAAAAAAACACTGTGGGATTTATTACATTACATTACATTACATTGCATTGCATTTAGCTGACGCTTTTATCCAAAGCGACTTACAATAAGTTTTATCATGATAAGGATTTTAATTGACCTCACAATAAATAAAACCCTTTATTGCTTAGTATTACCAAGCAATGGTATCAGTGAGATGTTTTATAAGCCTTTTAACATGATAGTAAGGTTTAATTTTTTCAAACTGTTATTAAACAGAAATAAATAAACATTTTTAGTTGATGGTCAGAAATCTTTCAAGCAAAAGCTGTTCAATGTATTTTCCCATTAGCCTTTTATTAAGTAGTTTTGACTGTTTTGGAGGGTTATATTCAAATGTCTGAATAATATGTATTATAGAACAATATTAATAATATTGTCAGTATTGTACGGTTGAGAACTCAAAAAGACAAAAGTGTACAACAACTTTCTCATTTGTGGCTTTTTTATTATCCAATTGGTCTGCCTGGTTACATTTATAAATATTAGCAAACATTATTTTTCATTTCATATCTTTCACAGACTACTAACAATTGTTATCCATGACAAGTGATTTAGTTCAACTGTAACAGAGAGTCTATAATAAACAAATATATGCAAAAATATCTAATGTAGTCAAATGTCATATTTTTTCTATTGAAATCTGTCACTAAATTCATCCAATAAATCAATTATATAAACACTACTATATACAATATGCAACTTTGTACAAACAGGACACATACATAATACAGTACAGGATAACTTATACTAATTATACTGTACATGTTCACATATATATATAGGAAATATAATAACTCGTTAAATGCAAATGAAACTGTAGTTAAATGCACATTAAACTGCATATATTTTAGCTCAACAGTCCACTACAGTAGCTTGAGGGGTATTGGTTTATGAATCACAGCTTCACTCCATCTGTGTCTGACGTCCGTACAGTAGTTATGGGAGGCTGGATGACAGGAAGCACATGTCCGTGTCCAGGAAGTAAACTGGCGAGCTGTTTCTGCAGAAAGTAAATAAACGAAAGGTCAAACTGTGTGGTGGGTGGGAGACTTTTCCTTTAAATCCCCCCCCAGAGAACAAAGCCGTCACCACCTACCACAGTGCGCAGCTCTTAAATACGGCCCACCATGTTCTCCAGACGCTCGATCCTCCCAGACACATCGGCCAGTGAGATCAGTCAAGGAAACTCAAGTACAGGCACAATTAAATGATGAAACATACACAAGACACGCTTTTAAATGCTGTTACAATAACAGCGCTAGCAGGTATCAGCCTCAGAGAAATGTGCCGCTGAGAGTGTTTATAATAAAACTTCTTCCATCTGAAACAACAGAAAGGATATTCTTGGCTGTGAGCTGCTGCAGGGCGGCCTGGGTCTGCTTGGCGAACATCAGTCGGGCTTCACATTTGCAGGGATCCTCCACCACCACCGCCCTCACCTCTTCTCCAGGAGAAAGCAAATTTCACATCAGTGTAACAGATCTTTCAGAGAATTAAAAAAGCACATACGATAACACACACTCTACTTTTCCAACTGGGCCTCTGAAGAAAGCTTAAAAAATAATATGTTCCCAAATATTCTACAATATTAATTTAGCATTTTCAATTTGCTACAGCAATATTCAATCAATTCTATAAAATTACCCGATTATTGTCCAACATGTGCTACAGCAAACAGTGAATTATAGAGAATTGTGCACCAGTTGGTTGTGATGTTGTGAAGCCCTGCTTGGAAGCCAAACACATTATTCACAAATGTACTGTTGGCAGCATTAATTAATATCAAAGCAACACATCATGTTTGCTGCAGGAATCCATACAGTATGTTCTTACGTTTCATGGAACATGTTTTCTTGTCCGTATTCAAGATATAACCGATCCGGCACTGGCAGTAATACGAGGCATTGCTGTTGACACATATGTGTTCGCAGTCATTTCCAATGGAACAGGGGTCCAGACCTGCAATAAGCCGGGGTTAAGGGATGGATACTGGATACACTTTAATATAAGTAGGAGATCCTGATTGGTAAGATAGCTGCAAATAATTCAGGTAAAAGTGATCAGTTTCTTTCTAATGTCGACAAAAATGAGTAATATAAACAATTTTTTTACTGCTACAGCTGTTTCTAATATAATTTCTGACATCTATTTAGCTTTTACTTAGTGTATATTATATTTGCAAGCTTTTCCTTTGCGTTTGTACTCGACCAAATGTCACTTGTGGTGGAAAAACTTGATTCCTTCATAGACCTTCACCACATCTCAGCCAAGGTCATTTGCAAACTGCTTAGGTTCACTGTGTGTTGGACAACACAGGTAAAATCACAGAACCCTGAAGTACAGCAGTAATTATAAGTTACATGGATACATTACTTCACAAGTGCTAGGGGGACAAGACAAACAACAGGACAGTAAAATATGGACCAGTACATACAAGTTTACAGCAGAACCTCATTTGTCCAAAGAAATTAATCAAAATCGAGATATTTTAATAAATTATTCTGATCACTGTTACCAAATCATATAATGAATATGATAGGTTCCATGTCCATATTAAGGTATATTGCATTTATTAGTTGGAATGCCTTATTTTTGAGATTGGTTTACAAAAGTGAGGTTCGGCTATGCATATAAATCATTTCATATTTAGATATTCAAAGCATACACCATTCAGATGCTCTGAACAACTTTACGGAAGCCCAGAGAGTAACTTGTTTACATATGGAGGAAAACATTTTTTAAATGTAATATTCATTTTGGCCACTAGAGGCTGAAGTGCACTGCTACTAATAAAAGCATAAATGGTTTCTTCCAATTTTTCAATTTCTCCATGCACTCTCAACCCAACATACACTTATTGTGTGTTAGCAAGTCATGAACCAATTGCTGTCATGTCCTTCTTTTGGCTATAAATTAGATTCTGTGTCATAAACACGGGAGACGACTCAATTTAGATCAGTCTGCTTGTTAAAGATGTTGTGTCACTTGTCTTTTAGGGCTTCAGTAAACACGACTAACAATTACCATATAAATTTTTTCTGAAAGAGAAGCTGAAAGTTTAGGGCCGCACAGCCCCAAGACTTTACGTTGGTTAGACTGTTCGACTAAAAGCAGGTTCTAGTGCCGACATCTGCAGTCCATGTGGGGGTTAAGGGCATCTGGCTTTATCCTCATGATTTCAGAGTTTATAATTCACCAATAACAAAGTAAATGACCCTCTATCTGCAACAACCCCCCTGTAGACTGTAGGTGCCGTTTACTGAGGAACTAGAACCGGGGTTAATGGTGGCGTAAAGGTCTTGCAGGTCCCTTTGTCCTACCGCACAGGGTCTCTCTGAACTTGGAGGTGAGCTTCTCGATGACGCCGTAGGTCTCCACATAGAAGACGTGGTCCTCCAGGGGGATGCTGGCCATCTGCTGCAGGGAGCGCATGTCGGCCCTGTCCACCCCAACAGCGTAGATCTCGATGCCTGAAGCCCTGGCTGCGGCCGAGACCTCCTCCACCTGGTCCTGGGGTCTCCCGTCTGTCACGATGATGGCCACCTTGCTGATTTTCCTGAAGCGCGGTCTGGCTCCGGACTCCTCGGTGAAGGCTTCGTTCATCGCGGTCTTGATGGCGAGGCCTGTCATGGTGCCGGCCGCCAAGGGCTCGATGCGGGTGATGGCTTTCTTCATGTCGGGTTTGTTGAAGTAGTTTTTGAGGACGAACTCGATCTTGACCGTGCTGGCGTAGTTGACCACAGCCACTCTGGTGGCTTCTGCGCCAATGTCCAAGGTGTCGACCATGTCAGCCAGGAAAATCTTCACCTTCTCAAACTCACCGGGACGCACGCTGCGAGAGCTGTCAATGATAAAGACCAGGTCCAGGGGACGGCTCATGCACTGAGAGTCTGTCTCTGGTGATCAACCAAAGCATGGCAGGATTAGGTCATAATCATTATTCAGAGAAACATTCAAGTGTTTTGGTTAAACTGTCAGTGTGGGATACACAACACATGTTGCCATGAAGACAGAAGGAAACTGTTGTGCATCCATGTAGTGGTAAACAAATAAAATGATATAGTATGCCATTAAACATACTGACATCATTTCAATATTTCAGTCCATCATAGTCTTATCATATCCTTTTATCTCATTTCCTTGAATGAAAAGGATGCTTGATGTCAACACAAAAAAAAGTGACGTCACACCTAAAGATGGAGACATTGTTAGAAGCCCTGCCTGTCCGTTAACATAAACATACCAAACTACATTTCTGCAGTTCAGTGTCAAATACCGCTTTTATTTAAAAAAGACATCAGTGTTAGCTCTTGTCTTATTTTAAACATCAAATGCTTAATATGAATCAAACAGATGTGAAAGTGGTGTGAATCTTCTCTAGTAAGAAGGAAAATATCTCACAAAGAATCTATAAATTGTGTGTGTTTCTATTCTGTCTCAAATCAAACAGATCTGACCTGTAACAGCATTGAGGATTTGGGTTGGAAAGCAAACCTGACTGGTAATGTTCTACCTGTCTCAGGACTGACGGTGGTGATGAAGCCGCTTTGGGTACTGACCGGTAGCGTCACAGGAGCGGGGGTCTCCACCGGCGGCACAGTGGTCACCACCACCACCGGCAGCATGGTGGTCACTGTCGTTGCTGGCAGAGTTGGCTGTATTGTCGGCTCTGGTGAAGGTGGAGGTTGAGTTGGAGGAAGGGGAACCACAGGCGCTGGTGGCACTGTTGGGTCTGTCTTTATGAGGCAGGGACCTTTCAATGTGTGAGGGAACTGGCCTTTGAGCCTGTGATGAGGGTGGTGAACTACTGGTGGAGATAGACCTTTGTATATGTGATGCATATGTGGAGCCACTGGGCCGGTGAATCTGTGGTGGTATGGGGGCATGGGGTGTGAGGGTCTGTGGTAGGTCAGTGGAGGAGACATAGGAAAAGGTCTATACACTACCGGTGGAGGGATCCTTGGTGGCTGGTAGTGGTAGTGATACCCTCCTCTATACGTGTAAGCACTTCTGTGGCCTACAGGCACACCAGAAAGGAAAAGTGATAGAGAACATTAGTAGGTGGAAATTACAGGAGAGTTGTGTAAGTTGACATTTGACAACAATAGACAGACACATTATTAGTTGAAGCACGAGTGTAAGTTCAGCCACGTGGGTTTGTTTTCTAACAAGCTTGGATTATGCCGTATAATAATACTTGTGAAACACCCAGTAAACACATTTCACAATTCATGCACGTTGTGTTTAAGAAAAGTGTAAAGTCCAATCATCCACTACTGGTTACATTACATTTAGACCAGGTCTGGCCTTTCATGTTTAATGTAATATGCAAAAAATACATAACAGTACAAAACAGTTTAAGTTATTTCTATTTTAACTCATACTGACATGAGATTAAAAAAGTCTGGCGTGGATATAGGAACAATTACTATATTTAAGTAAGATCTTAAGGTACTTTAATTGAATAAATACAGTTTATGTTACATCTACATATGAGCGAGAAATGCAGTACTTTCTACTACATAGTTTTGAAAGTAAAACAAATAATAATATTCATACTATTTCATATTTATATTTTTTAAGAGCTGTATTGCTTCTGGCCAAAGTATTTTGGGGCAAAAACCAAACTTGACACAAAATTCAAGGTATTTGCCTCATAAAACACACTAAAGGGGGCAAAAGACATTCGCTAATTGTGTCTTTTAATACCACCAAACTTCAAATGTTGGAGGAAAAAAAATCCCCAATGCCTCGACTTATAAAGTTATTTAAATAAAACCAGCAGAGAATTTTTGAAGGAAAATGTTACTTTAGTAGATACTTAATTTTGTAAGGGGTCAGAGACCAAAACGACTGTTCATTTATAGCAGTAAATTGTATTTGTGTTTTTAAAATAATAGCAGTAACCACAACGTCACATAAACTAGTGGAGTTAAATCTGTAGTGTTATAAAGTACCTCGAAACTCTTATTAAAGTAAATAATAAATGTGCTTTCCACTACTAATGCTTTCATATTGCTATATTTTGACTTAAAGTTTTGTAAACTTCTTCCCTCACACTTAGAAAGTACCAGCTCGTTCAGAACTTACTTTCTGGGTTCAGGGTCCTGATCGGGGGTCGGCCATTGAGTCGTGTTTGTGCGTAGCTCTGTGCGGAGATCAGCCGCGGGTCCCCGGCACTGAGAGGCTGTGTGGCCCGGGCATCAGGCAGCAGCAGCGCGGCGCAGCACAGCAGGTTCCAGAGCAAAGTCTTCATCATGTCTGCAGAGTCCTCCGGTGGTCTGTCCGGTGTCTGTCTCGGTCTCAAAGGGTCCTCACTGACCGCCTCCCCATATGAGGGGCTCTCAGCACCACGCGTCAAACCGCCTGTCCAATCCAAAGGTGGGACACGACCTCCACCGGTAGAGACGGTATGGAGGACGGTATAGAACAAATCTCAAATATTATCTGCAGCATTTCGGAGAGACGTATAGCAGCAGAGGTGTGAAGTACATTTACTCAAGTAGCCTACTGTACAATTCTGAGGTACTACTTTGTACTTCCATCCCACTACAACTCTAAATACTGTACTTTTACTCCACTACATTTACCTAGTACCTTTAGTTACTTTGCAGATATTGATTAATGATAACAAATATGATCAAATAAGACTTTAGTTACACAGTAACAGAGTAAATTCACAAGCTACCCAGCAGTAAATAACATAATACAGATTTGGTCCACTTAAACAAGCTTGATAAACACATCAATACATAAATGATTTTAATAACATATGATTCTGAAATGGGCCAATCTGCATAGCAAGTAGCCTACTTTGAGTATTTTTAGATGCCAATACTTTTGTACTTTTACTTGAATTACCTTTTGAATACAGGACTTTTACTTGTAACAGAGTATTCCTAGACTGAAGAACAAGAAGTGTTTCTCAACATCACAGACTTACAGCCATTCACTTTTAAATCCACTTTTGAATTTACTACAGAATCTTAGACATAACAAAAGAGTCATGGAGACATAATTTTTCAGAAACGTTTATTGAAGTCAAATGTATTTCCACTAGGATAAAATCATATTACCAATAAAGAAATGGGGAGGCTTTTGATAAGCATGCAAATACTAATGTTCACAAGACTAGCTGCTGCTCCAGATGTCGGGCGAGGAGGAAGCAGAGAAAATGATCATCATCATCATCATCAGTGCCCTCCGCTCTCTCTCTGTCTCCGTCTGTCTCTCCGTTTCAGCTGGGAAACTAATCTCTATCTTTGCTCACACATCGGGGCAGCAGAGTGATGAAAATGTCAGGGGTGGCAGTGAACTGAACCACAGCAAAGCTAAATAAATACCAGACGAAAAAGTGCTACAGACTCCATTCAATGACTGAGATGGAATAGTCTAGGTGTAAATAATTAGGGGGGGAAATAACACAATTCAACAATAAGAGCTATAATAAATGGATTGTCATAATATTTTTTTTACACTTCATATATCAATCAATAGATAGGATGGTGCTGGATTGATGATAGCATTTCAAGCAATTTATTTTCACATGTATCCCTTTTGCTAAGACATAAAAAAGGCCAGAGGGGTGGGAGCGAGGGCTGGTAGCTTCCTTTGCTTTTCAAACATCACATTCATTCATTCATCTCACACAGATTTCAGTCTTTCCCACCTGTCCCCTCTCACACCTCCGGGATGCTCTATAGACACTCTGTAGGAACACAGAGGGAAGGGCTGAACAAAACGTTGTCAGTGGCCTTACACGTACACAGTAGGTCAGGGAAGGGGGGGGGTGAGGGTGAGGGTGAAATGGTGTTCAGAGAGGGTTAGTGAGGCAAGGTAGGAATGCATACGATGGTGGTGTGTGTGTGTGTGTGTGTGTGTGTGTGTGTGTGTGTGTGTGTGTGTGTGTGTGTGTGTGTGTGTGTGTGTGTGTGTGTGTGTGTGTGGTTTGGCAACAGGGGCTGGTGCTTAAGCAGGCATGTAAGGGGGAGGTGGCTCCTTCTCTGGCATCTTCATCGCCATCTCGTAAGTAGGCAGGATGTACTGGAGAAGAAAACAAATCAGCATAACATCATTAATCTATATTAATCCAGATGCTCACATATTAGGGCTGCAACTAAGGAATATACACATTTTAAATTCATTCATCTGGATATCAAGAATCTTAATGGTCAAAAATCATATTTTAAGCGTGCTAAAAGTTAACTGATTTTAGCATCTCTAAAGTTAATGCAGGTTGTCTTCTATGATATTGAAGTGAACATGTGGTGATATTGGGCTGTTTGTTCGACAAAAGTAGGGATTAAAATATGACAATTTGGGATTTTGGAACTTTTAAAATATGCTTTTTGCCGCTTTATACACCAAACAATTATTTTAATCATTGTCTGACAGACAAATTGATAACATATTTTTAATTGTGGATTTCAATTCCATATGAGATAACCTCACCACCAGTTAAGTGTGTCATCTCATCAATATGACTAAACGTTTTAATGTAATAACTATTAGAGACATTTAAGAGTCTTTTAAAGAGGAGATTTGTTTACTTTGATAAAAAGGTGTTACTAAAAAAATGGTAGCTGGCAATAAATGTTATTTCTTCTGACAGGTTGTTCTTTTATGAACACTTAATGTGATTACTGCCTCTTTTTGGCTTCTTATACCATCACTGCGTGGACAGCATGCCACCTGTTGGCCCAACGTCAGCATTACACATTGCTGTATGAAAAAGTGTAGAGTGTGTGACAGAGATACCGCTCGTAAAATTCACAGCAGTCAATCAGAGAGCAGTCAGGCAGCCTGCATACCTGGGGAGGGGTCTCGAAGGCCGGGTAGACTGCAATCTCTGGCATGTTCCTGTTATTGATGTACTTGTAGCAGTTCCACACACAGTTGATCAGGTAGGACTGGAAAGCAAACATTTATTTTGAATGTTATTATTAAACTTGCTAAAACCACAACATATCTTTTCAATTTAAAAACAGCACAAAAAGTCATCATACTTTTTAATATGGCTTTTAATTTGGGTTAACTTTCGATTCTCACTAGTATAGTATCATTGTCCATGGTTTACTGTATTTTTTCTGTTTTGCTTTTATTTTACATTTTTTAATTGTTTTATTTTAACATACTTTAATTTCTTGTCAGCTTTAATTCACGGGAATTTCATTAGAATCGCTGTAGATGTTTTATCTTGTTCTGTATTTATTTTAATATTGTTTTTATGTTTTCTATAAAGCACTTGAATGAAAGGTGCTATACAAATAAAGTGTATTATTATTATTATTATTATTATTATTATTATTATTATTATTATTATTATTATATACACATCATCCCTTTACTGAATCCACGGACATTTAACTAATATCAACTTCCTCATCTAAAAAAAATCAAACTTACTATGTTTTAAGTTCGATTGGATCGAAATTAAATGAACCAAAACACAGAATAAACCAGATTTATCTGTGAATAAATAACAAGGATTTCACCTTGAGGATGATGAGGAAGGCAAAGAAGACGAGCACGAAGAGCAGCAAGCAGCTGGAGTCCAGAGAGAGGAGGTTATCTTTGTACGGGAAGTCCGGCTGAGGAGGACAAGAACAGACGGCAGATAATCAATGAGACCTTTTTAAACTCAACACACATCTCCATCAACGCTGCCACGCAACCCACAGAAAGAAACTCAACCCTTAGAGAGCTTGAGGTTGTTTAAACAGTCAAATGTCATAGGTGAATCATTTTCAGTATTTATCAACATTTGTATATCCTGATTGTTTTAGAGCGTTTGTATTTGATTTGGATTCTGGTTACATAGTGCACAATCAAAGAAATGCTGTGCAAACACACATGTTTATCCATTGGTGGTTTTCCTGATTACTTTGAGGAATTCTGTCAAAAAGTCAGAAGCTTATTTGCTTTCAGTCATGTTTTCTCCTCATTTTCCATGAACGTGGAAGTACATTTAACACTTATCAAAAAGTATTTACAATAAGTGCACTAAAGTATGAAGATACTAAATCAACTCTCCTCTAAGAACAACTTGTAAAGGTTTACAAATATAACATTGACATTCAAATTAAAATATCTTTACCCTTCTACATAAACCTTAAACCGTAAATTGTGTAACTTTTTAATTTATTCTATTTTGTATTATATTGTACATTTTTTTTAACTTTAATACTTTTTTATGCATGTAACATTAAGCTGTCTTTGGCTCTTGTTCTGCTGTAACAACGTACATTTCCCCTCTGTGGGACTAATAAAGGGATTCTGATTCTGAAACCGTGGTCTTTTTAGGTAAAAATGACATAAAAAGGAGAGCAATGAGGCTTAGTATTAGATGCTGTTTTCTATTGTCAGGGTCCTCTGTTAATAACAGTGGTGTCATGATTTATAACGCCATGGGATCAGACCGTGGACAGAGGAATGTGTTGGCACTGACCAGCTGGTCCAGGTAGTCCTTGATCCGGGGAAGGTAGGTGAGAGAGCTGATGGCCACCAGGCAGCTCAGAGCAAAGTCAAACAGCTGGTAGCAGAAAAACGGGATGAGCCAGCCGTCACGATGCTGAGGAGAACGATTAGAGGGGGAGACAAAGAATTATAATGAACAAACTTATCAGTTAGGCAGAGGCTGTTTGAGGTCACACAAGGAACATGTTGCATTATTCAACCTTATCCCCAAACACATGTCTTTGATTAACATTTAGACATATCTGTATCAAGGAGGTATTGCCCTCTACAAGAACTACAGATAAGTTCTTGTAGAGCCTGAATCAAAACAGCTTTCAGTGTTTGTTCCATTCTAACCCTGGGTTTCTCAGCTTAAATGTTTAATGAAGATCTTTCCTGGATTGAAAAAACGCTTTTCGCTCTGCGCTCAGGCTGTGGCTGCATCATCACATGTGGTTTGGGGTAAATGAAAAGAGCCTGCCTACAGAGACAGAGAGTGCTGACGCTGTAGCATTAGCAAGCCTCACTGTAACGAATACAAAGAGAAGATTGAAGATCTGCAGCGTTCCTTTAACTGGGTCACTTTACAAGAATCTCTACAGGCATTCTGGGTGTTTTTTTAATGCAAGGACGATATACTCCTACTTGACTCTCCAATCTTAGTTAATGTAGCAAAGTACTAAATATATTTTGTACATTATGAACATGAAACATTTAGGATATTGAATTGGGACACTACAACAACTGCGGCTCTGCACCGCCACACTGCATTGGAAAAGGGGTTTCTACTACTGTTGTCTG